ATTACCAAACAACTGATGTTACTCTATAGTACCATATCACACCTTGACTTACAAAATTTTTCTTCACCTGCTTTGTTTGGCCACTGCCCTATTCCAGTCCATTGTATGTCACCCCCATAGAAAGGGGGGAGGACCCTGAACTTTCATTGCCTTCGTTGGAAATTCAATGGTGGGGCAGGGAAACAAACTACTTATTTGTTCCAGGCACTGGTTTTTGCTAATGATTGTGAATGTTTATAGCTACAGCCAGGTCAACTCTTAAAAGGAAAACTTGTAATTTAGGTTGAACTCTGGCCATCTCATGGTGATTGATGTGAGATGAACCAGTATTCCTTGTTGAAAGGTTTGAAATTCAATTTCTACCTTCAACTTACCTGTTGCTTACACAGCAGTGGGTGCACTTAAATCACAGGTTGTCTTCCAAAACATGGTCCTTCAGGAAGCATCAACAGTATAGCTTGAATGTGATGCAGAACTGATTTTAAAGCTGCAGTTCTCAACCCCCCTTCCTTCCTATTCCTTTTGTCTGCCAAAGAAAGGTGGGGCCTGAGCATGTATGTAGAGGGTAATACTTTAAGAAAAAAACAAAAGCAGGAAGTTTGAGCCTTGACAGTTGATAGTGGAGTTCTTGGAATCCATTTCAGCACATTGTCCTGGTTTCGGCAACAACATGAATGCTATTGATGACAATGCCATTTGTAGGAAATGTAGTTACAGGTTTTCCCAGCACAGGCAGCGTTGATCTCTGCAGAGTCTGAGCATTATGTGTGTCTTACAGGCTGCTAGCTTTTATGTGGAAGAGTCTGCTGGGTAGGGAGAGGTGACAATAATTAGCATACTTGTACTCTTTACAGAATCACAGGATGGCAAGGGTTGGAATGGACCTCCGGAGATCACCTAGGCCAACCCTCCTGCTAAAGCAGGTTCACCTAGAGCATGTTACACAGGACTTCGTCCAGGCGGGCTTTGAATATCTCCAGAGAAGGAGACTCCACAACCCCCCTGGGCAGCCTGTTCCAGTGCTCTGTCACCCTCAAAGTGAAGAAGTTTTTTCTCATATTTAACTGAAACCATATTCCACATTGTTGTCTGGAACAGAATCCCTTCAAATGCCTCTTTTCTGATCCCTAATAGCAAAACTTTCTGGGGTCAGGACTGTTTTTGAGATAATTTGGAATACTTACTAGTCTGGAGTTTCAGGTCCTAGTGGGCATAATGTGCATGCCTTGGGCAATCACCAAAGTAGAAAAAAAAAAAAAATGATGTGTACTCATTCGCATACGCAGCATTGAACTTAATTTTCCAACCTTGTGCAGGTGTATCCACAGTTAAGGAAGAAGACTTCACATATCAGCTCTGTATATTTGATGTGAAAATCATGGAAACAAAACCCCAGCCTCTCAATGTATTTTTTTATGAATTGTGTACCAGAAAAAACATCCATTGTTTTATTCATGTGGGCAAAGAAAGTGCGTTATATAATTCTTTCTGTTTTCTGCTAATCTACATGGAAGTGTAGGTGATATGTCACTGTGAAATAACTCTTTCAGAGACCAACTGAATCTTTTGTTTTGGGCTTAACCACAAAACCAAGACCGTTGCCAGCCAAATCACTCCACCTCTGAGAAGAAAAATGTGACCCAATAGTTATGCTTGCTTTCTCTTTTCCCCCAAATTGTATCAAAACCAGCTATGGTACAGAATGCATATGAATAGCTATAAAATAGCTATGGAAGTGTAATACATTTGCTTGGATGATGAAATAGCACAAACCGTATTTTAGAAGAAATCCACATAGCGCATGCAAGTTCACAGAAGAAGCACTGCTATCAAATAACCATGCAGTTATGACTGATTTATATTTGCACACGTGGTGTAAGATTAATGTTTGTAACAGTCAGTCTAGACTTTCAATGTTAGTCTGGTTTTTCAATTCATTTTTTCCCCTATTGGTGTCACTTTAGAGCAGACCTATAAATACCACTTTTCTGAATTTTTTACTTTTTCTTAAATGTATTTTCAGAGACAACGATCTTTGTCAGAAACTAGAAAAAGAGAGCTCTTGGAAAGAACAATTGTGGAACTTGTTGAATTCATTTCTCCTAAAACACCTAAATCCGAAGAATATGGTGGAAGGACATCAGGTTCAATGGCTTGGCGAATAGCCAGAGGAGAAATTGGTCCAGAGGTATTTAACTTTTGCACTGGTGACCATCTTAGAGGTAGCTAGCTAGAGGTTCTATGATTATGGTCTGCAGAAGAATAGCACTTATGGTAGGTAGCCTACATACTTAGTTGAAACAGTGAAACACAAAAACATTAGGTGCAAGTTTGATGTGAATTCAGTAGAGGTCCGTAAGAAACTTTTAAAGATTGGTGGTGGTCTGGTGATTCTAAAAATGTTTGGGAATCCTCGATCTAAAATGTGTTTTGCTTTTACAAGTTAATAAAAAATATTTATCCTTTTAATTAGTTACAGTGTGACAGCACTAGAAAGCTTAAGGCAGTTGAAAGCAGTTGGGAAAACTTAAAAAAGAAAAAAAAGTATATTATTAGTTGCTACTGGTTAAAGCCTAGAAGCAGGCTTCGACCAACTATTTTTGTTAATAAAACAGTGTGGGAGCAATTAGGATTGTCTAAATGGAACAATCTCTTAAATAATGAGCTCGATTGATTTTTTTTGTATCGGTGTTTTTGATTATTTCCAAAAGCAAGATTTTAATTATTTTATGCAAAGATAACAGTTTCCCAGAACCATAGCCATATCTAGCTTGGGCCAGTGGGCAACGGTGTGACTTAGCTTATCACTCATTGCAGCATTTTTGTAGTGATCCTGTCCATATGGAATGACTGAGAATCCTAAATAGAACCAGTTAGATGAAACTAATGAGTTTCATAGGATTGTTTTAAGTTTAAGAAACTAAGAGTTTATTTTAGTTCTCCATAGTTTAGAAGATTTATTTTCTCCTTTGCTGAAACTCATAAGAACAAAAGTAATACTGTGAAGTTATGAAGCTTGTACCTTACGTTTTTTGAAGTTGATTTGTAAACTGTCATATACAAGCACCTGTATATGAAAATTAGAATTACGTTTGTTATTCAAAATAACCATTTAGTTATTGATTGTACAAGAAATATACTCAACATATAAGTTTTCTATTCCTAACATGTTAACATCTTACTTAAATTTGCTAATTTTGTTAATAATTTACTTCTAAAAGTAATTATGTGAAAATTTTAATAATAAAATTTCTGCTTCCCTCTGGAAAAGGTGCAGGTCTATTTTAGGAAACACTAAAGTGGTTTAACACTTTCGTTTAGCAAAAATGCTTTTGTCCATGACCTCTCTTAAAAAATTACGTTTTTTTCAGTTGGCAGAAAAACTGCATGGGAGAACCATGGCACAGTGTTTAAAAGTAACACAGTCTTACTGAAATGTATTGGGGAATGAAGGTGCTTTTGTTTTTTGCCTTTTTCAGAAAAGAAAAGAAGTAATTCTTATTCCCTCTGAAAAAGAGAAGACCTCTAAACTCTTCCACCTCATCTACAATGTAGTAGAAGATAGTTATACACGGATTTCCAATAACAATGAAAAAATGAAAGGCTGGGAAACAGGTGTTTGGAAGGCAGAGTCTATGTGGAGAAAGGTTGAAACAGATTGGAAAATGGTAAGGATAACAATTACTAGAAATGTAAAATCTACTGTAAAAGTACGCTAACTCCAGTAAAATAGAAAACCCTTGCCAATGTTTGGCATTAAAGCCTCTCTTGGTGCCCATAGAATTTAGTTGATGTTAGTAAATGTTACTGTTAAGCTTCAGGTAAGATTGTCGGACGATTTAAGAAATTGGAAATAAATTTAGCTTGTCTTTCAGAAAGGGTGACCGAATTCTCTGTAGATAAGTAAGATCCGTGCTAAACCACCAAATTTTAAAAAATGGCTTTCTTCTTATGTTTCTGGGCAAACACACAATACTGTTTTATTGAAAAGCAGTACTTCTCTCAAAAAAAAAAATTTTTTTTTGTTTTGGAGAATAGTGTTATAGTGCATTACATATCTTTGATACATAGCCAAAGGAAAAAATTGCCATCCTAAATATTACAGTTCCATCTGCAAGAAGGCAAAAACCTGTCAGTTATCCAGATTATTGTATACCCTGCCCAGACTCCTTCCCATCTGTCAGGACACTGAGCAGCAGAAGAGTCATATGCTCTAAATCTAAGGAGAAGAGAACTGATGCCTGTAAGATGGGAAGGGGTCATTTACTAGCAAACAGCTTTTCCTGCAACAGCTACCAACTGTGGAACTGAGCATTCCTATCAGGGAGAATAGTACGTTTATTGCTTTGTTCCCCTGTCATTTTAATAATCTGAAAGGTCTGTGGCCAAACATTCTTCTAGTTTAGGCAATGGTTTGCTTCCCATTGATGAAAAATGGAGCTAAGCCTATAGCCATATTCTGAGGGTTTTCTGTGCTGGGTCTATACATAACCAACGTGCAAAATGCAAGGGGGGAGTAGCTTGAAGAGGTTATTCTACATAAAAGAGAAGCAATAAGGGAAGAAACTGGAGGATAATATAAAAGATGTTACAACAGGGTAGGCTAATAGGAAAAGAGAAGTAATAAAAACTCAGAATGAGGGATGACTGTTTTCTGCTTCCCTAGGATCTCCTAAAATTCTGATAGCACATTATATCTTGAAGTCTCCAATGAAGAGTCTGCTGTTCTGCTCAGCTCTACTAATCAGATAAAACAGGGAGGGACTGATCTATAAGACCAGGCAGAAAGAGACTTCTATTCAACAGCACCTCAATTTTTCTAGATAAAGGATGAGAGGTTGGCCTTGAGAAATTAGGAGCTACAGGTCCAGGTATACAGGTATATCTCAGGCTTGCGGGTAAGGCATGTTAGTTCTTCAGGAGTAGTATCCTGCAGAATGTCTGTATGAATCTAGAAAGACTTTTTATTGGGGGTTATTTGCATTATGGAAGACAGCAGAGGGAAAGGTTGTTTGAGGTTTGCATGTTCTTTTTGTAATGCCTCTAGTAGATCTACAAGGTACAGGTTTGGAGTTTGATTCAGCAGCTGCCCAAGAAACTTGCCAGCCAATGGAGCCTTCACAGAAATATTTGGTTTATTATTCAGTATGTGATGAATGGAAAGGAATTTAAATGTAAAAGCCACAGTAAAGGTAACTATAGGTATTAGCCCAGGAGTATCAGAAAAGCACCATCAGTTATATATTCTCTCTTTGCACTGTTGATCAAAATTATTCAAATTGATAGATTATCATCTTGGCCAATCTGATGGTAGCCGTCTCCATCATACGTGTGTATTTTCTTGCTATTCAGTGTCACTTGACTTTATGGTACAAAACTCAAACAGGTACAGAACACAAATTTAATTACACTGTCCGGAGATAACTTGGCATCCAGGGCTCAAACAAGAATACATAAGAATGTAAGAACTTGTAGATGTGAAATCCATGGGTTTCTAAAAGCTTCTTTTCCAGAAGAATTGCTCCAATGGAAGAGAATTGGAATGAGTCAGCTTTTTTTTGGTTGCTTGTTTTGGTTTGGTTTTTTTTTTTCCCCTGAATTCAGACATTTTTCAAACAATACTGGAAAAAGAGTAGCCACGTGTGAAAGTTAGAGGGCAATCAAAAAGACACAAAAGGAAACTTTTAACTTCTGTTTTTCTGATTAAATGCTTGGTTATCATAATGGAAGATGAGACAGGCTAATGTTTTAATTTTTATCCCTAAAAGCCTATGCTTAGTGCACCTCAACCAAGTGCTAATTAATGGAGTGTTCTGGCTTCCTTACTCAAATATGGCAATTCAGTAGGATCTGATCAAGGGAAATCTCTTGCTAGAACTAGCTGAGGTACTTAAAAAAAAATTGTGTGGAGATCAGCACTTTCATGAACATTAAGATTATATTCACATGAAAGCAGGTTAAATTGTTGCATTTTCATAGTTAATCTTCAGTGTAACACCTCACACCTTTGGGGTTTTTTAGCTTTCTTAAACATGAGAATTAACATTTCTATGCCTGGTGTGTAGTAACACTGAAATTCTGGTTTATAGTCTGTTGGTGACTTTTCTATATTTGGGTGGGATTTTTAGTAAAACATACTACTGTGTTTTACTATCATTTTATTCAGGGTTGTTCTTTCCAGATTAAAAACTAATGAGCGATCTAAGTCCATTCAGTGTGACATTAATCAGAAGCCTGGACATGACAGAATTTTGATAAAGTTTCTTAACTAAGGATTCTGAAAGGATCATGGCAGCTGTGAGTCTTTAATCTGTGATGTCTGTTATCTTGGTTTGCTGGTAATAGATGCTAGACTTGAAAGGATCCTTAGACGCTTATTACAAAATTCTTATGAAGGTTCACAGTAACTTTAATGGATGTTAACGTGAGCTTGACTGTTCAGCCAGGTGAAGTTTAGAACAGCATTGGGACTACATTAAATTATGCAAATCTTTAATGGTTCAAATAAGTGTTAGTACAGGATTTATATGTGTCTAACATGCATGATTTGCTTTAACCAAGCATGTCAAGTCCTAGGAGAAGCGGTGTGCAGCCAGCAGCCACATCTGAAGAATCCAAAATACTGATTACCGTTTTCTTCATCAGCAATACTGAACAACCAGAATGAAACTGTGTGTGCATTTTATATAAAAAACAGAAGTCTTCTTGTTTCTTTAAATAATAAATTTGGGTATTTCTGTGGCTTAAACTTTACCAAGCTTGTTGAAATAGGTTAGTGTTCCCTAGTGAAGGACTATGACCATGCAGTTACCTAACTGTGGAATATACTTATGGATTCAGAATGAGATTGTATACAAAATTGCACTATGTACAGTTCTAAAGGTTCAGAGAAGTCTGTTATCTTAAGATTTTATGTCCGTGTTACAGTGATTAATTAGATTAATTTATGTGTGTTGACCATCTGTTTTTGACATGCTGACTATGTCATCTTCCCATTCAGGTTTATTTAGCCCGAAAAGAGGGGTCAGCCTCTGCTTCCATCAGCTGGAGGTTTGAGTGCAAGTCAGTCGGTCTAAAAATAGATAACATTTCAATTAGGACAAGCAGTCAGACATTTCAGAGTGGAAGAATAAAGTGGAGACTTTACTCTCCAACAACAGAAATTGCTCTGATAGGAGGTAAGTGTGGAATTGAATTATATAATGATACAATGAATTCAGTAAAGATGTAACTGGAAATAAATCGTTTATATGGAGAGAGCACTGTGCAAATACGGAAAATGAAATGCAAATGCATTTTGACTTTTCCAACTCAGTCTTTCATAGCAAGGTCAAGAAAATACTGTGCATTTAACCAAAATTGGTACCAAAAAATGGTACAAAGCCCAGTTTTATGAATATACACAGCCCTACCTTCAACAGAGCAGGGTTAGCAAGAACACAGAGTGGATACAAGATACTTGTGCATTTTACTAGGAAGGATAGGTGCTTCTATGTGTGGTGGCTTTGATTTTGACTAGGTCCTCTGAGCATGAGCACTAAACAAATACTAACTAAAATTTTCAGCTGGTTCTTTTTTTTTCTGCCACTGATTCACAGATGAATTTGAGTAGTTGCAACTGAGATCCTTAAGAATTCATTACACTTTACCCTTTTTAACATGTGTTCTAGCATTATGTGCTGTCTGGAGCAGTGGCTTACTGAATTGTTTTATCTTTTCCTCCAATAGATAAAAATATTCGGTCCTATTCAGATTTTTCTGGTGCAACAACAATTACGTTGGGAGCAGTTCTAAATGGAGGGGATGGTGAAGCTGCATGGCAACACACACAGCTGTTTAGAGACAGCTTAACAGGATGTGGAGAAAATTGCTTGGAGATAATTATAAAACTCAGTGACCTCTGAGAACCTGAACTGAAGAGATGTTCTCTGGATTTCTTGAAGACGTTATACCATGGCTACAACATGAGAATTTGGTTGGCAGTTTTTGTTCATCCTGCTGGAAGCTTATTTCCTGTTTCACTGCTTCCATTTAGCCAGCTTGAAACTGCACGTGTATTGAATAGGTAAACATGACAATGAAAACCTCTTCGCTTTAAAAACAAACACCAAAATTAATGGATTGAACCATTAAATGCTCTGTTCTTAAACTTTACAATGAAAAGGAAACCTTTTTTAGGAAGCAAAACATGATCATAAGAGCACAGAGCAACTGTAATCAATTTTAATTTGGAGTTTTGGGGTTGGCTTGCTGGGTTTCTTTTTATAATCTCCTTGGAAAAACAGTTTGAATTCCATTTTCCTATTACAATAGGTGCTTGTGGTGATTTTAAAATATTTTAAAGAATAATTGAAGACTTAAACATTTTAAGAGAAAAATATGATTTTATGTAATAACCAGAAGAGCTGAAATTAAGATAGATATTGAAGCAATCTTAAAATGATCTTGTTATATATCTAAGCATTAAACTTGCATTTAATACCTAGCAATGTTTGGAAATGTTATGGTGTGCTAGGAAAATATACTAATTTTTTAAAAAGTGTTCATTATGTACCTAAAATTGTCATGGCCTGTGATATGAAACTGAGACTTAAAACTTAGTAAGAACATTTTTTTTCTACAAAAAAAGATTATTCATTTTAAATACTTTTAAATTATATAAATTCAAATTTGCCCACTTATAAAAAGATTTATTAAGCATGTAGGTTGAAATTACTTTTTAAGCTATTGTCTTGAGTTGCTTTGAATGCTTTTCCGAAATTTGATGTAAAAGTATATACAGCTTTTCTGTTCCTTAATGCAGCGTTTCAATCTCTTTGCATTGAGTGTAATAAAAACTACCACCCAGGAGATGTCAGATGTAGCAGTACTGTGAATAAAGTGAATGTTCAGATTAGATTGTCTTTATCAGAGGATTTGAGGAGGGCTATGGCTCGGTTGTACAAGAAATTTTCTATTCTAGGACTATAATGCAGAGTTAAAACTATAGTTTTATTTTAAAGTAAGTGAAAATTAGGGGTGGTGTTATCTAGATCAGTGTTTTTAAAGCTTTTTTCTTCCTTCTTTCTGACCCTTCCACCGCTGTATTGATTTGAAATTATTGTCAAAAATAATTTACATGAAAATAAATTTTTGCTGACTTTTCAACAAATTAAGCAAATATAAGACTATTCAGATTTTATTAGGAAACTGCATATGCACAGTCAGCGTAGGCATCAAAATTATACCACAGACATCTTAACAAGTAGTAGATTATGGCAGCTCAGGAGTGACAGAGTGATGTATGATAGATTATAGACTTTGCTTCAGAATGTAAATTGACAGTTTATGAGGGGAATTAGGAAGAGAGAGTCTCACTCTCCTAATACAGAACAACATACTGACAGAGAACTGTGGAAGGGTGTTCATCTACGCTTGACTAATGCAAAGTGAATTTGTCAGTCTCCATTCAAAACTCCTGTATTTAGTTTCAGCTAAGTGCTAGTTCTGAGGTTTTGAGTGGGAACCCAACAGAAAAATATTTTAGACTAGTCTGTATACTATGTTGAAGAAAACAGGCAAAAAAAGATGACTTGGTGATACCAATCAAAAAAAATGTTTCCGCTTCATGATTTTGATAGCTGAAAAAGATACTGCTTTAAGACAGAAATTATTTCTTGCATTATATTGCTTAAAATAGAGGACTGTGAGGAATTGCAGAACAGATTAACTGCATTTGATGATTTGAAAGCAGAAGGCAGAATGAATATAAGGGTAGTAAGATAAAACTAATTTTCTCACAACTTTGGTCAGAATCTCTGGGGGAAGAGCAATAGCTGTAGATAACTTAATAAAATCATCCCCTCAAACAGTAGAGTAGTTGAAGTCCATTATTAAAATGTTTGAATGAATTAAAAAGATTGACAATTGCCTCGCCAGTCTAATTAATCAAGGAGTACTTCTGTATTTGTAAGATCACATGCAATGAATAGAAGTGCATATTTTAGGAAAGAATTAATGAGTAAAGACCTCAGACAGAATAGACCTAATCTGAAAAAGTTAAATGGAACTTTCAGATGTCTTTTGGAGTACCCTATAAACAAGGAACATTTTTAATCTCTTCGTGCTGTTTTAAAGACACTAATTTTCTTTGTTGATCTCTATTTCAGTGCAACTCTTACTAAATTTTTTATTATTTTTTGAAACCAGAGGTGATTCCTCATCAATAGTTGCTTAATAATCACTTACAATATCCTGAATTTGCGATATTAGATGGTGGAAAGATCTGTGCTGCAATGTGTTCTAACAGTATGGGTATTAAGTTATGCTGGCAATGATATGATACTCGTTGAGTAGTAGGAGATGTTGATCAGGGTTTTTGTAGCTAAAAGTCAGTGCTTATTCAGCTGCTTTTAAGTTTGAGGAGGGGGAGGTTAAATGGGGAAAGAAAAAATACTATTGTCTAGAAATGGCTTAATGTCAATATAGGTAAAGCCAGCAATGTTTTCTAGAATTCAGTTTAGTTTGGTGCATTTTAAAGAATTACTGGCTGTCCAGTGTGCCGTGAGTGCCTTCCAACACTGCACTGAGTTATAACAGTGAAATCTTTTCAATCAAATTTTATATAAATACTACACTATCCAGTTAACAGTTGTAAACTAATTTTGGAGTGCATGGTTTCCAACAGAACTGCGTGGGAGCCTGTGCACAGAATTCCTCCTTTCAGACACATATTTGTTGTACTGCACTGTTGTCTGTCTACAGTTGATCATACAGCTGTTTATGTCTTCATATCCTGTTTTGCCTCTGAATGCTGCGTGCGGAATAGCAACCACTAGTGGCAACCCACGAAATTGTAGTAGTGATTTCCTACACCCCAGGGAGTTGCTGGGAAAATGTATCTTTAAAACACGTGAAGGAAGCTCCTTGTAGGCAGTGTAGAAATAAAGCACAGGTATGCAGGAATCAAGCAAACTTCAGTATAAACTTGCACTGAGGAGTAGGTAACGAAAATTACCTCATCTGATCCTGTGTGATAATGTCACCTTTACTCATCTTCATGGAAGATTTTTCTCATATAGTGGCTTAATGGGAGATATAATCCCTATTCTGTGCAGCATCAGGAAATGTAGAACACTAAAAATAAAGTGTGTTTGTCTCCATAGCACAGTGGAATGAAAACAGATGGTAGGCAGCACATATGGCTGCCAGAAGCTGGGAACACCCATTTGCAGAGTTCTTGCAGCTCAAAACAAAACAAAGCAAAACAAAAGAACTCCAAGGGGGGCAGAGATTGTTCCGGGCAGATACCAGGATATCTGTCCTCTTCTCCACGCCCACACTCCCCATCTCTTTACCTTTGGTTGCTTAAGCTAGGAATGGAAGTATACTACCCATTAAGAATTTAATGTACATTCTTAGTATTTGTCAAAATTAAGAATTGGTTAAGTACAGACACTATTTAAAATAAATCTCTAATTTCCACCATAGGTTCAAACCTCTGGTTTTGAACAAAATTTAAGATTTTGTCAGTATGCTGTAAGCAATTCAACAACTTAAAAAATGTATCAGAGTTGGAAGAACTTCTGTATTGTTGCTTTGTATCATATGGAGGGTCAAGAAGCACATTACAGACAGGTGACTTCCTTAAAGGCCGTTGGTGGAATAGGCCTAGGTCCTATCTATACTTTGAATACTTTTTAAAAGTTACTCAACGTTATTGGCAGTAGTTCAGCTTACTTTGTGCTAACTCTTAAGGTTCTTTTATGGGGTACTATCATTGCCAGCAGTGCTTCACGCCTTGCAGCTTATGGCCTCTCTAAACGATAATCAGTGATACTGCATTTACTGATTGTTGGTCACATAGTGTTGTCGACATGGGTAGAATGAAAGAGTAATAGCACTAGTGTCTACAATAAGATTATGTGCTTTATGCTAAACTTGAATGTTTCACCCAAGCAGAAGGACAGTAAAGAGTCAAACAAAGAAACAAAAAAGGGTCTTTAGTAAGTTGGTACGGTTTCTTCTTCCCTAAAGTTACTAATTTCAGGAGCAGAATTTTGAGACCTCCCATCCTATAATATGGCACTTAGGAATGGCCAAGTAACAACCCCAAGGTCAAACAGCCTCAGGTATCTGTATTTTACATGTACAGATATTGTGAAATGTGTAAGGGTCTAAGTATGACTGTCTGCCTGTCTGAGTAAGAGAACAGGTTTTTTTCCTTTGTTTAGATTTTTATGCTTATTCTTAAGGCTTTTTTTTTTTATGGTGAGCTTTGTAATTAGGCTATTAGCTTTGTTTATGATTAGCCTGCTTCAGTTCCTGCAGCTTTATCTTTTCCTACGCATTTCCATCTAATTTAAAATACATTTTAATGTGCTTTTAATTTATATGGGATATTGCAACTGTATGGTAAATATGCTATGACAAAAATTAAGTTAGTTTCTTTATTTTTATTTGGTAAGAGGAGACAAAAGGGGTAGATTAAAAATATTCAAACTCAGCAAAAAAAAAAAGCAATAGTAATTAAAACTGATGACACCCAGAAACCAACAAAAATACCAGGACTTAATAAAATTTAATGGGGAAAGAGAATGTAATGGACTACATAAGCTAGTGCTGGCAAAAGTAACTTCCATGATTGACCCTGGTTTTGAGATGTTTTTGTATGTGCTCATTTATATTTAGGTCACTGAAAATTTTCAGTAGAAGAAAAATGCTCAGAATAGTGAACAGCTTTTCTGAAAAGCAGTCTAAGATTTAAGGAATATCCGTTTTTAAACATCTTTTATTTTTTACTAGTCTAAGCTATAGAAATAATTTAAAATTAAGAATAGGCTCCTACTGCTTGGTATAGATTCGTTCCTTTCTTTGTTCACTGAATAATCTGGGTCTTTGATTTTGGAAAAAGTGTGTTTAGTGACATGTTGTAACCAGGAGTTTTAAGAGCACACTGTAATGATGATGAGATTTCAGTGTGGCGCTGAGCACCTACAGAGACTTGAAGGGCTGAGTCTTAAGTACCGGCTAGCTATAACCTGTGAGGGGTCTTATAAAAGGGGGGAAAAGATGATTTCATATGCATTTTGATTATAATGTTTCACTGTGTGTTCTGTTAAATTTGATCCTTTTATTACATAATTCTATGTGTTATTTCATATCCTTGGAACTTCAGTAACACAATGTTTGTCTTCCATATCCTTGAAGTCCCAGGAGAACATGTTTTCCCCCCAGAAAATCATCAGCTAGCAGCTTACCTCTGTCACAGTCAGGAGGAAATGCTGGACTTCTTTTAGATAAGCACTTTGGGTAACAGTTTGCAGACTTCCTTGTGAAACAGTCATAAGGAAACCAGCGGATGTAAGACAATTAAGACATCCAAGAGCAATGTTTAAGCAAACTCTTAGTAAAGTAGGTGGAACAGTTGATTACAGCCTCTTAGAGCAGATGGAAACAGCAGCAAAGTACAGGATGGAAAGAGAGACTCGCTTCTTCCCTCTGCGTTACCGTTGTGATGAGAAGGATAGAAGGTAATGTAGTATACATGTGCCCATGCTTGCATCACATCAAAAGTAAACATAATGTCATTAAACTGCAGCAGTTTTTGCTTTTAGCCAAAGCATCCGGGAAAAATATACTGTATTAAAAACAAAGTTCACCACTGGCAAAAAGATGTAAAACTTTATTGGCCAAAAGGGAAGTGCCTGTTTGTGGACTGCATTAAGAATTCTGGAGCTGTTCTGGTTTGCTTTAGTAAGAAGCATACCCCAAACTGGTTTTGATTTGGGTGTTTTCTTTTGTTCAGTTGTTCGGGTAAGAGTTTCTGCCTAAGTACATTTACTGTTTTCCATGATGTTAGCAGTGATGGTTTCAAAGAAAAAAGGCCAACCCCCCCCACCCCCAAAACCCCACCCAAACCAGACTGGAGCGAAAAGAAACTCCCCAATGGAGGTAGCAGTGCAAAGATGAAATGTTAGAGGCTGCGGTTTAATTTTAACACTCGAGGATTTTCTATCTGTTTTTACTTTTTTCTGAAGTAAGGTCAGGTTGATGATGATAAATGAATGTCAAATTTACATAATTTGGTGATTTGTTTAGCAAACTAAGTTAATTTTTTTCATTTTTTTATAAATCAAAACTTTTTTGAAAGGAAGAATTATCATCATGGAGCCTTACAAAGGCAAATGGTGCCTTAAGCAAGTTCTTGCTCAAGTGTCAGAAGTATGTATGAACTGCCTTTATAAGAAGTCATCTCAGCCCCTGACAATATTGTTTGTGGTATCAGTTATTTCTCTACTTCAAAGTCAGTATCTGATAACCTTTTTTTTGAAAAACATAAATCCATTTGATTTTTTCAACAAGGATGTGAAAGCCCAGGGTTCACATCCAGTGCAATGGATGTTGCCATTTTTCTCGACTATGCACTGTGACTAGCTATATTCTGAAACTTTATTTTATAGCTCTGTTTCAGATTTTTAAGGCTTGCCAGGAATTCATATTTGTACAGCAGTTTTCTGCTGAAAAAGAATTAATGAGTGACAAAGATACGAAGAAATGGGCATTTGTCCAGTCCCGATACATAAATAACCTTCTGAAGACACAAGATGATTTACATGCATTTCTGGCCCACAGAAACAAAATCCATGATAGAAAACAGACATTAAAGAGAAACAAGTACTTGCCAGAGTACATTTACCTTTTTTAAACTTTTTTATTGCATTTGTTTCGCATACAGGACTGATGACTGGTCACGTGAGGCAATTCAGCCCTGTGCAAATACTGAATGAAAAATACAAAGTTCATCTGTGAACAGAGCATGGAGGCAAGACGTATGCTAGTGAAAGAGTGGTTGAAAGGTTGGGTATGTGGAAAAAGAGAAAAGGAAATAACGTAATTCATTTTTAAAGAACAGGAGGTTTACTGGCATGTGATAACAAATTCAGTGGAAATCAACTCCAAGAATTGAATGTTAAATCCATAACTGGGGAATATTTTATTGAAAAAGTTGTATGGAAGAGGCACTTCGGTCACGTAGTGTAACTTGTGGTTCGAGCAGGAGTCACCACTAGCAGTACCGATCAGTGGATGTTGTATTTCATACATATTAGAATGAGAAAACCAGCACTGTAACACAGGTTTAGTTATATTAGTTATAAGATGGATGTATTCTACAGTGTGGCATAATCAGATGCTTTGGCCATCTTTTGGAAGATTCCCTTGATTAACATGTGAGATCAGTTACCTCCTGGGGTAACCCTACCTGTTGTCTTCACTGTTAAAAGCCCTTCCAGATTTCCCTTCTTCTAAATGAGTGGGTTTCGTCCTTTGAAGCAGTCTCTGCAGTGGAAATCAAGGCAACTTTCAGGTGAGTCAGAGGTAAGATACCGAGGCTTCCACACCATCCCTGGATTCTGTCCTTTTGTCGCTTTCCCTGTTTCGCTGGCTGTTACTCCAGCCCCATACAGCCTCCCTGCGTTCCCCAGCTGACGATAGCTGCTCTTGCTGCTTCTCTGGTGGGCAGTGAGAGAAAGCAGGCTGTGAGGATGATGGTAGCATCGTCTGCTGAGTGAGTTCCTCCAACATGGTCCTCTGAATCTGCCACAGCCTTCACTGCTGCAAGATTTTGTCCACCTCCTTGTATCCTTTTAGTTCCTATTTGCTTTTTGTGTCTGTCCCCCACACTCACGCCCATGATATATTCACAGGACAACTGAGTCCTCAGCCTGTACCATTCTAGTATCGTGTCCCTCAGTAATCCCTCACTCTGGTATCCTCCTGCATTCCCAGCGTTATTGCAGTTCCCAGTGGGTCTACTGGCTGTCAACCGCAGCCCGCTGCAGGCCTGGTAACAGGCCTTTCCTCACATCTTTTTGAGACTCAATGCCATCCAGGGGCCTGAGAGGTGAGGGAGGCAGTGTAAGGGGCCCACCAAGCAGGGGAAGGAGAAGCAGCAGTCCTCCTAAGGGAAGGACACTAAGGCTGACGTTAGAACCTGATGGTTTAGTGTGTTTATGCATACAGTTCAAAAGGGCAATGATGCTCCCAACCAAATTAAATCAGCATTTTACTTTGTGGGAAAATTGTTCCTGAATGAATGAAAGATTATGCATTATGTTTGCATGCTATGCTACGGATATCTGTTGTAAGGATATGAATGCTGTTAAACTTTCAGTTTAACTCCAGAGGACGACCCAAACAAATACTGAATTGCAAATAATATTGTCTTCCATGTCTTTTTGAAGGATAAACTATTGCTTTTTATAATCTGCAAAGACCTGTAGGAGTAAAAATGCAATGTGCAGCACCCGAGCCATTAGCATGCTAATTCATTTAGAGGGAATTTAAAAAGTAGTTTCACCGATTATAGTATTTGCATCTTCATGCTACTCTGTTACAGAACCTGTTAAGCAAGCTGTGCCTGTGGCATAGTTAACAACCCTGGAGGGAGCACCAGCCTTACGGATCATGGGATACCCAGCCACGAACAGCATGGGAGCAGCACAGATCAAGGGCGGGATGGCAGGCACTGCAATCCTCGTTCTGCTCATGAAATGCAGCATTTGATAACTGATCATAAATTAGCAGGGGAGGTGTAAGCACCAAAGGAAGCTGGAGAGAGGTTTGGAAGTGCTGTGTTTCGGGTGTGTGCTCCTGTGGGAGTATGTCTTCTGTCACGGGTGGCTTGGGAGCGCGGTGCGCTGTGCCGCAGGAGGACGGAGCCGTTTGGATTTGTGGGTAAAAGCAGTCGCGCTGGTTTGGTGAAGCAGCTTGGAGCGGGAGCATGTGCCTTGGGTTATGTTGGATTGTTGTAGCTTGTGCTGCGTTCCCATGGGTTGGTTAAGGTGCCTGCCTGTATGGCCTGTAACTGTGCGCTGCGTTTGTGGTAGACTGAGAGCTGGCACGGTTTCTGCTTTGCTCTACTTCAACACCAACTATCAGAAAAGAAAGGATTGTGGTTTGCTTTGAGTTCAGTTCTGCAAGCAACTAAAAATTAGTAGCTTTCATTATTTGGGAGAAGGGATGTTCTGATTAGAAAGCTGAGGAAAACTTCCATGTTTTGTTTTGAGAATTAAATGTCACAACAAACAATATACATGTAATCGATCTCTTAAAACTTAGCTATTCTGTGACTGCAAGTAATTTCATTGTGTTTTCAGTTTTCATGCTAGTGTGCTCTTTCATCATCACTGCTCGTGTCCCAGAGAACTGAATCCAGAATATTTTGAGAGAGATTATAGAAACTAATGAGCAACTGAAAAAAACAGGTTAGTAAACCTGAGGAATTCATGTGCATGCCTTTGGAACTGACAGATACCGTTTCAAAAAATTAAGGGTAAAGTAAAAAAGGAGCTTCTGTGCTTCCCTATCACAAGTCACAAGAGAGAAATGAACTTGGCAGAAAATGTTCATGTTCAGTAGAGTGTCTGATACGTCTCAAAAGGTATGGGAACACAGAAGAATCTCTAAGAATATGTGTCTTTGGGTACAGAGCTAACTTCACTGCCTTTTAGAACTTGTTACAAGATAAATGGAGTTCTGATACTTAGTGTCAAATAAAGCTTCCAAAACTACTAGCAAAGCTCCTGATACATAAATTGCATTTTCTAAGAGGAAGTAAAATGTTGAATGGGACAGAGACCGATACTGTATTGCAAATTTCTGGATAACGTGTATTGCAGTTTCATGAAAACCTGGCAAATTCATAGCAGTTACTGCCTGGAAATAAAAGAATGTGAATGGCAGTAACCAGCCAAGGTAAAAGAAACCACACTACTTCCAGATACATTTAGAGAGCTGCTCCCGCTCCTCAAAGGCTTTGTGGTACAAAAGCTTCCAGCAGAAAAGCATATGTGGAGTAACAAAGCTCAGTAAAAAACAACTAACTGAAAAAAGGTGTGTTGTTATTACAACAATTCTATAGCAGAACTGTAACAACTTTGACATGAGCTTACTATGAGACACGGTACAAGAAAACGTATTCTCTCTAGCTGTTATATGAGAACATGGTGCATCACTAAGTTGTTCTTTGCAAAATTAGTTTTAAAAGAATGTAGGGTATGATTATTGTATAACAGTTAATGGATTTGTTGCAAAAAGAGATATGCGGGCTTTTTTCATATTTAGGTCTGTCAGTAAGCAGCACTATAAAACAGTGCTTTTTCTTAAGGCTCTTTGCTTCATAGTTTGCAAGGAACGTAGGAATAGTCTAAAAGAACGGCATACATGAAGAACACTTTACTGCACTATCAGTTAAATGCACAGTAGATTTCAAAAAGAAATGTATAAACTAAGGAGGGCTGCTGCTTCCATTTTCTCTGGGTTAAAAAAAAACCCATGGGTATACATATATCAAACCAAGTTACTTCTAACACATCATGTAGATGACCAACTTTTTTTTCTAGAACATGAAAATGAAATCACTAAGTATTAAAGCGTGTATATTCAGAGTCATTCAAAAGATTGTTTCCCTCCCTCACAGGTGACAGCCAGAAATCCTAAATCTAAGGAAAAAATGCTGTGATCAGCATTCAGCTTTCTGAGGTGCTCAGAAAAGGAGACATGCTCTTGGAAGCCATGCTGGACTGAAGATGACCTAGACTGAGATTCCCAAATTCTAATACACATGCGCCATGGCAAAGTGCTGCCTAAATAATACTTGAGTAGTCAAACACATTGTCCTGGCCAATACTGAAAGCTATTGCTACTGCAACTTCTGCTACCTCTACCAACAGTGGCTACAGTCGTAGTGAGCAAGATGCATATAAGAACCACTGATCTGGATGTTTTTACTTCGCTTAAAGACTGAGGTAATGCGTTCTTACTTTTCTTTAAGAAAAACAGGAGGGCACTGAGGAGCATGGAGAATCCACAGAGGTAAACAGGAGCGATATAAAGTAGGTAGTGGAAAGAGAAAATAAGCATTGTTAGTTGGGTAAAAATAGAACAGGAGACCATAACCTAAACATAAAAACACATTTAATTTATTGCAGTTGGTACTTCATTTACCCATTCTCCTAATAAATACAGCAAGAATAAAATGCTAAGTAGGAATACCACTGCTGAAACAAATAACTGAGGACAGCCACATGATATCTTGGAAAGAAATGTTCAAGACCCAGAAATACCAAAATGTTAAAGGATCTAAAGGGATAACAAAATATTTTTAATGCATTTCTGATCTTCTTTGCTTAATATTAGTATCTAATAAAAATAGAAAAGTGCATGAAGCGGCTAGCAGTGATCGCTTTTAAACAGTCTAATCTTCCAAGCTGTTGAATTACACGACTCCAATTGAAATAAATAGGAACTGTTGCTGCTTAGCTCTGTTACAAATTAGGCCACCTGAGAAATTGTTGGATAGCTGATCTGAAACAAGTAATTGTTAGAGAGTTGTAAGTTCAGATAATGCTTGCATTCAAGACTACGGAGGTGGCTGAGTCTTGTGTACATTTCACCTGTCAGCTGCACAACCCTCTTTTTTTTAATTATTATTTTTTAATTCAAGTATACATCTGATTTTTGTAATCAGTTTCTCAAAGACTTCTGAAAAAATTGTTCTCAAAAGCCTAAGAATTGTCTGCTGATACAGGTAATCTGAAACAATGCATTGGAGCAAATGGATGTTTTAGTAAACAGGTTGCTGGAAAGATAAACAACTTAAGTCAGCCAGAAAAGAATATTCACAAATACAATATTATTGTATAAACTTCCTCTTCTAAACTGCTTCATAATTGTCAGATGCACACAGTAAGCACATTCCCTGTGCTGTGGGCTATCAAAGAGTAATTCAAATTTTAGGGCATCTAGTACCAAATCAAAAACATCATGGTCTAGTTATTCAAAGTACTGAGCCAGTATAAACTCAAGCTGCCGGTACAAATTTGCTCAAAGAGATTGTTCAGTAATTTGTTGGAGAGGTAACTTCAAACTATCTGACTGGGCCCTTCATAGTTAGCCCAGCTTTTTCTTTTTGGTAGTTCCTTGTCTTCCCTGCTGCGTGAGCGCAGATGTATTGTTCATTGATGTCCTGACATGTGCTTACCCACAGCCCTCTTCCAGTTGGATGGCCACAGGACATTTGCTCAACTCTCTTGGTTGTTCTTTGCCTCAGGTCTTCAGTTATCCAAATATTCCAAAACTTGTGGCCGCTGCCTCTTTTTCCTTTTACCTTAGCATGAGCTATGTGGGTGCACTGGCCACATCTTACTGCCATGCTCTGCCTCAGTGGCTCTAAGTGGAGGCTGTACTGTGTGCCTCTCAGCTCCTCCCTGAGACTTTCCTCTTCTTGGATTACCACAACAACCACACAACTCCATTTTGAGAAAGGAAACGCAAATGCACATCCTGACATAGTCATCATCAATGCCAGTCAAAACTGGTGATAAAATGAAGCTATGCAAAAAAGCTTGCCCTTTCTATTTCCCCCCAGTAATTACTAACCATGTGTCAAAACAGAGATAATGTCTCAGAGGTGATTGGATTTTAGCTCGAGAGCGCCATCTCAGACATTTCCCAGAATAGTGGAATTCTCTGTTGGCTACATCAGTCATTACTTTTCTCCACAAATTCAGCCTGTCCACATACGCCTTTTATAGTAACAACTCCTTCACCTTCCTGTCTTCCCAGGAATGAGTAGACATGGAATTTCTGCCATTAGGAAGAAGTCTTGATACTCACTCTAGATCCATCATGGTTTTCTTTCTGGAAGGCTGGAGAAATACAAGGGTAATGAGGACTTTCAATGAGCAAGAAGAGTCTTGCTGGGTAAAAATGAATCACTGCTCTCATTTTCTTGCCCAAAGAGTCTTGGTCGAAGTGCTAGGAACAAAACTACATGGCTTAGCCAGAAAGATATCCCCCTTTGGAAAGAGAGAGCTCCCTTTCAGAGGGACAGGAAGAAAGGGGCTAGGTGTTTAACATACAGAAAAGCTATCTAAGTGAGGAAAGCCTAGCATGCTTCACTGTGTTCATTACCCTGAGCCTAAAGGAGGCAGGGACTTTCTGAATGGTGTGTCATCTCCAAAACCTTGCTGGCTGTTTGCATTCTCCACACTGATTAACAGTGTCATAATGCAGTTGGTGATTTCCAGCCTCCAAATGATTGCAGCAATCTGCCTCTCAGCTCTGTGTAACTCCACTGATGTCCATTTTTATGCCACATATGTTCAGCACAGATCTCCAAAAACATTGCCTTCTTCATGTTACTTTGAGTTGTCTTTGTCCCCTGAGGATTTGCAGCTCTTCCCACTGCCACCAACTCTTTTAAAAACCTCAGATGTTAATAGCATGGATGTTCATTTTATTCATACTGAGAATTCCTCCTAGCAGGGCCAGCTCAACCTCCTTTGCTTCATCTCTGCGTGCACCTTCTCTTGCTGTATGTGGTCACTGCACAGGAACGCTTTCTCCTAGACAAGAAATTTCAATACGAATGTATTTCATCTCTGTGACCATCTCCTGCCTTAGTGACAACTCTGCTTATGCTACTCAGCAAAAGTGTATCACGGCTTAAGCCTGAATTGACAGTGAGGAGGCTAGATGGACTTGGATACTAAAGCACTTCTAAGTCGCAGATAAATATTTAATGTCAACAAGCGACATGACTTCCCTGTTCCGCAGGAGAGACAGCGTGGACCAGGAGAGAGGCCAAACGAGTCAGCATAACTGCCTCCAACACAACCTGCCTCCCCTGCAGTGGGGGATGGTGTGGTCCAGAAGAGAGTCAGGTGGGTCAGTAGAGTGGTCCCAGCAATGCAGTGAGCAATCCAGGCGCTGGGGTCCTTCACTGCTAAGCCCAGGGCTTCTGCTGGACCTCTTTCTTCCCCAGCAATGTGCCATCAGCAGCGCTCACAGCCTGCCCCGCTGGAAAGTTCTCCACACCTCGGCAACTGCACAACAATTAATAGGTTAGTTACAGGAGAGTAACTGGAGGGTAAACAGACTTTAGCCAGTCCAAACCCTATGCCAAACTGTCACAAAGTGGCATGCTGTTCTTGGAGGATTAAGGTGGAAATGGCAACCTGACAATGACCCAGTGTTTTTCAAGAGACTGGTTGTGGAACAGTCTGACCCGAGGAACAGCTTACTGACAAATATGCCAAGGATACATCAGGCAGATGCGTAAGTCCTGGACACAGTTCAGATGAGAGTGTCAGGCAGTGCGCTGTACACCCACAGAAAACCACTAGCGTGTGCTCTTGTGAGTTCAGCGATGTTGTTTGAAATACAGTTTTGTAGATATGCGTGACCTGGCTAAATTTGTATTGTTAGATGATCCAGCAATGGGTAGACTTTTCTTAATTCCTTTGGAACCATGGCCTGGAATTCATTCAGAATCAAGGCAGTACAGATATGTTAATAACTGTCATATTGTACTGCCATAATCCTACTCAATAATTTGATCAGTTATTTCACGATTATGTTAATGAACTACGGTGAAATTTTAAAGTGTGGTAGAATATGGAAATTACTTTCTTGCAAATGTAAATACCTGGTATTAAAATATGCAATGTTTGTTTATACCTTATGCATCTATATACAATGTGGAATGTATAGTGTAATGGGTATCAACTTAGTTTCATAAATTTTTTAGATCAAAATTGCAAATTAGACTTTTTCCTGTGTAGTTTGCAGAAAACTGAGAGCTGCGATCGCTCATTTAGGTCAGCGATTGTATCTGAGTATGTTCTCAGAGTAGACAAATGTGCATAGTTTCACAAGTAGGCAAGTTTTATGCCCTTTCAAGTCTGATTCCAGGAAAGCCACAGAGAAAGAGGAGGTTTTATTAAACAGCAAGTAAACTAGAACAGAACCAGCAAATAACTTGGGAAGTTTGTACCTACTAAGTATAGAAATGTTTAAAGATCATACGTACAGCTGTCTTATTGCTAAAAATAATTAAACACAAAGTAATGTTACAGTAAATAGCTTACTAAAACCAACTAAATACTGAAACCAGTAGCGAAACTGGTTTAAGTAGACAATTGTTTTGAAAATCTGTAGGGTACTTCTATTTATATTACGGTCTCCAACTATGAGAACAAGCAAATCTCCAATGAATTGAAATAGGAATTTTGTGCGTATCATCTCAAGGGGATTATTAATTTTAAATGTCACACAACAATGGTAAAGTATTTGACATAAACTGATAGTACATGACTGGGGCAGGTGGTATCCAGCAAAGAAATCCCACTCCTATCAAAATGTTATGGTGCTTAAATTCGATTCATGCTTAAATCTAATTCTGTGTTTGTTTTAGCAGGAATCACTTGAAATGTGATGAACAGCCTAGTTTCACTTCTTCACCTCTGAACTCCACGAAGGCAGCTGCTTGTAGTCTTACAAGAACTTTGTCACTCAATCCTACATGGCTAGGAATACAACCACTTGACATACACATCTAAGTATTAAGGATAAAACCAATATAAACAGTAAGCCAGTAACACGCTGTGCAGGTAGCATAGCGTATGATGAGAATTAAATGAAAAGCAACTCGGACAAAGTAATTTCAAAGACGACTAAAGGAAATGCTTGGAGGAATGCCAGCCTTTCCTCCTATATTTACTCCAGCATGACACATAGACTGAACGTGTCTGACCACGCACATGCAAAGATCAGCAACTGCCAAGAAGAAAGAAACTCCCTCTGTCTTGCTGTAATGTATATAGAATTGGCTGTCTTCGAGCTAGGTTGCCATCTACTACTTGGCTCAGGATAAATGAGTGCAAAAGGCGTACTTCCCACACTCAGAACAGCCTATTTACTGAACAGCTGGAGCTAACGAGAACGTAGTACACTAATGTTTGTGACTTGTTCTCTTTCTGCTGTATGCATTAATGGTTCTCCACCAGCGCAAAAAAGCTTTGAACAGATGCACTCCTGCTGTTTTCTCTGGTCCTCCCAATATTCATTGTAGGAGCCCTAGTTCACTATACATGACTCATTTTACAGGTCCTGCCTATACGTTTGAGGGTTGGGGGAAATAAAAAGACATTCTAATCGGCAAGCTCAAACCTCTGAAGCACTAGGCAGAGCCCTGCAAGTGTTACCACCTTCTTGTTCTGCAAGAAACACTCTTTTTTGAAAATCTTGCCCAAAGTTGAAGAAAACGCAGCCTACAGCTGAGAGGTATGTTGCAGCTGCAATAAAACTGGGCTGGAACAGATAACTTACTGTCCCTTCTAGGCAGATGCCATTATTTTCTGTAATCCCTGTGCAGCACTTAGATATTAGTTTAATAGGTTCCTTAGTGTCTGGCAGAGTAAAATTATGCTAACTAAGCAATATTTACTAGAAATTCTTCTGATCCTTCCCTTGAGCCATAATTGAACGTTACAACTGACTCCTCCAAGGCGGCTGCTCCATTTCCAATCCCTTTACTTCTTAGGAAAAGCATCTTGCAAAAGGAAAAAGCTTTAAATTATAACCATTCAGCTGAAATTATTCTCTTTGGATAAGAATTTGTCTACCGACACAGATGCGGTGCTCCTACTAATCCCTCCTTTTGTGACTTTACGTTGGGAATAATTCCAGGAGGAGGACAGGTAGGTCTTTTGCATTTCACACAGCAAAATGAAAATTACTAATTGAGAAGCTGCATGTGGTGAAACATTTTTTTAAAGCTTGTCAAAAATCTGTGGCCGTAATATTTATGGTGATATATGTTTTACTTTTGGTGGGAAGCGTCTTAAACGGTGTTTTTCATGCTCGTAGCTAAAACAACATTAATTTGAGGCTTCCTACACGCAGCATTTAGGCCTAGGAAGGATGCGCTGAGTTATGCCACGGGATATTTTTTCCGAAAGCAGCAAATATTTTAGAACAGCGTTGTGTACAGCGTACAGAACAGGGCGCTTTATTATGCGACCCTATTAATAAGGCTACGTATCACTGACCAAAAGAAGACGTCGCAGGGTGATGCTGAGAAGCGTTCGTAACAGTAGCAGAATAAAGTTCGGTGGGAGACGGGCGCTGAGGAGCCCCTCGGGTTGATCACCGCGGTCCAGAAGAGGGCAGTGGTTGATAAACGCTCTCCTGCCGGCAGCACCAGGACTTTAATCCTGCCCGAACGGCTGCAGGGATCGGCCGCGGGGCTGGTGGGGCGAGGGTAGCTGGCCGCCCTACCCCCAAAACGCCGCTCCCACCTACCGCGTCACCTCT